TGGAAGAGAGTTTATCACTTTAATTGTATATGTGGTAGTCGTTTCTTATGCTATACAATTTTCATATGATTCCTCCAACTTGTAGTGGGCCATGGATAGAATTCATTTTGATTGGAGCATGCTAAACTTTGTTTAGTGTGATAATTATTTCCCGCCTTAATAATACTTTTGTAGTTTAATGTTACAGAAAAGCAATTAAAGTTATTGGTTTTCTTAAATAATAATAAATAAAAAAAAAAAAGAAAAAAAGAAATGGACTTGTCATGGATTGTATTGAAAAATTACGATGGAAGGTACCACAACTTGCAAAAAAAATACATAATAGCCAAACCCCAACTACACAGCATAAGAGAACAATACAGTCCAAAACCTGAAGCTAACGGTAACACTAACAAAAGACAACAAACTTAGTGAGTGTTGAAGTTTTCCTCTTTGTATTATGGCTGGTAGTCGATATCCATGTATAATCACTGTTCTTGAGTCTGTTGTCCCAAAGAACGCAATTCTAGGCTTATTTAGTGTTTACATGTTGAAGCATTAGACCACTTTGTTGTAAAATGTTCTCTTTGGCTATATGGAATATTGAAAACTTGCAGTTCAAATGAAATAAGCTGTAGCATGTGATGATTGAGGAATATTACCTCCCCTAAAACCAATCGGGAATGGGCAAAACGTCACTGAGGAGCTACATAATAAGACAATAATTATCTCGAAAGATAAAAAGGTAAGAGAACACAACAAGAAACTCTCAATTAGTTCAAGGTCCTTGTACCATCTTCTCTTTAGGCACACTCAAGATCAAACCACTACAATATTGTCTGCCTGCCTCAAAGCCCGACCCTTCTATTTATAACAAGTATTGTCTAATAACTCTCAACAAACTACTTTGCTAATTGTATTGCTCTTTTCTATTAAGAGATATCATGCCAATGCGGCTGTGCTTAGCTTCTGGTTAATATTTTTGCATATTGTATGTAATGATTTAAGTACGTATATATTCCCTTTTTGTTCAACTTATTTTGATCAATAAAATAATAAATGTTAGGTTAAAAGAAGACACTAGATAGATTGTAATGAAATCCCGAAGTTTCAAGTTGACAATTCTTTCTCCTAGCGATGGTTTCAGAAAGTGGGAACAAAAAATGTTTTGATCACTTTATTTTTCTCATGGATGCCATCTTTAACTTTTCATTTCTCTTCTATTGAATTCTAAAAGCAAGAACGTTTTGCAGTGATAACACACAACATGCTGTAGTCACTTCAATTCCGAAACCAAGTCCCAAGGATGCCATACAGCGTAGGGAGAAATACATTCATGCTAAGGTAGAATGCACTTTTTATCTGCATTTTCCACATTTGCTAAATAGTGTATAAGGTCTGTAATTCATTTCCCATTTTTCATATATATTTTTAATTTAATTATTCATAATTCCTTGCAAGCAACCCCACTGCATTATTTTTGGCCCCAATTGTGATTACCTAATCTAGGAGGGGTAGCAAGGAAAAAGACCTCCAGAAAATTCGTTAGTGGAACGTGTGGTATGATTAGTTAGTTTGGGAAGGGCACGGATATTAGTACTGTGTTTGTTGACGGATAGGCCTCGAGAATTGTCTGGGCTGTCTTCTATCTATCTTGTAATCGCACTTCTGTTTTTCAATACAATCAGAGAGTAAGGTAGTATCCTTCCACATTATTATTATAATATCTACACATTATTGTTATTGGTCACTATTCTAGAAGATCATTTAAATATTTTTGTTTTCACTGCATTGATGCCTTTCTCTTGGGATATGTTTGTATTTTCATATTTCTCTCATATGAAGCTCACAGTACCCTTTTCACAAGTTTTGTCATATAAGTTTATTATTTGTAGTTTCTGTTTCTTGAATAGTATGTAGAGAAACTGCTTTTGGTCAAGGATACCGAAGCATCCGGCAACAATTCTTATGCAAAAAGTATCTGGGAAGCTGTCCAAACAAATGACTTGCGAGAAGTCTACCGCCTCATTGCAGTTTCGGCCGTGTCAATTGTCAACAAAACTTATGATCATGCGGTCAGTGTCAGTTCAAGCCCGCATTTGGATGAGGAACCCTCGGGCGGTAATCGAGAATCACATAATCCATCATCGTGCGGGAGAGAGATGGATTCTAATGAGTCAAGGAGCAGTCTTCAAGGTTGCTCATTATTGCATCTCGCTTGTCAAAATGACAACCAAGTGATGCTTGAATTGTTATTGCAATTTGGTGCTGATATAAATGTACGCGACTCTCATGGAAGGACGCCTCTACACCAATGCATCTCCCAGAAAAACAACACGCTGGCTAAGTTGCTACTGAGAAGGTACAATCTGTTCTCTTTCTTCTTCTTTTTTTTTTTTTTTTTTTTTTTTTTTTTTTTTTTTTTTTTTTTTTTTT